CCGTGATGGAACATGACCAGAGACCCCCAACAATGGTGGGGGAGGAGCGGGGTGCTACAGGCTAGCTTCCCCACCGTGCAGATGCAGCCTTGGAGCTGGGTGGGTACCCAGATGTGAGCACAGGACAGACTGGCTCAAGGCACATAGCCATGGCCCTCAGCTCCCAGGACCCCTCAGTGGGGGCCTCCCCATTACGAAGCAGCTCATGTATGACCTTGAGCCAGAGAAAACAACGGCCAAGCTGTGTGGACTGAGTTTTACATGAAGACAGCAATGATCATGGCTACTGTGCATCAGACCGTCTGTGCCAGGCACCATGCCAGGGGCGGTGTTTACCAGCACCGACTCACTTAGGAGGCCAGCACTGTAGCTTTTCTCCTTGATCCAGTGAGGTATGCAGAAGTGAGGTACCGCCCAAGGTCACGCAAGGCCAGCATTGGAGCCTGAACCTGCCCCGGGAGACCTGGCTTCAGAGCTGGGTGACACCACGCTGGGCATTCCCACAGGAAATGCAGGTGGTCTCTCTGAGGGCACAGGAAGCGAGCTGTGCGGGAGGCTGGTCCCTCTACCTCTCTTCTGGAAGTCATTGTTGAAGGGGAGACCAGACTCTGGCCTCCAGAAAGACCTTACCGGCTAAGGGTGTGAGGTTGTGTGAGGAGAGCTGCCTTTCCAGGTGTCAGTAACAGGGATGTACTGCCCTCAACGCTGAAGCCAGACCAGGAAGGGTCACTTAGTCCTTGTGGTCGCCACACCGCGGCCACCTTCAGAGCCCTGGGGAGGGGCGAGGACAGACTTAGTGGAGGAAGTCTAGGAAAGAGGCTTTTTTGTTTGTTTTTGTAGAATGTGGGCGTGGGGCTTGGGGAACCGGGAAGTGGCTTCCAGAGGGATGAGCTGAAACTGAACCAGCTATGGTACCTAAGGCTACATGCGCCCTCTAGTGGAGAGTGAGGTTGGAGGGTGGATATGGCGAAAGCACAGAACAAAGAGAGATTAGCCGGCAAACCTTAAGGCTGTGAAGCTGGGTTGGAATAGCCAATCCTGCCCATCTAATATTACACACAGAGGCAGAAACCATTGGAGCTAAGCACGAAAAGAAACCACTTAATCTGTTCGCATGTTCGATAATTTAACAAGCATATTTTGGGCGCCTACAAGCTACAGACACTTGCATAAATTCTAAGAGTCCTGGTGTGGCGCTGTAGGATAAGTACTTGGCCACAAGGTCCGTTTGAACCTCAAGGTCGACGGTTCAAACTCACCAGCCACTCCTGGGGAAACCCTATACAGGGTCGTTATGGGTTGGAACCGACTCAATGATGCTTCACATCAGCAGGAGTGACATAGTGATGGACGATACAGTCAGTCCTAGCCCAGCTGACTGATATAATAGAAAGATTCCAGCCAAGGGACT